TGTTCCACTTCATAGATTTCAAGCAAAACCTTCGTCACCATTGGAAAACGCGTCATGAGCTTGATTGTGAAGGGTCAGTGTGTCCATTTTTACGTTTGTCATTCCTTTCCCATTGGTTAGCTCGTTTTCGATTGCAGGATTTTTGAACCGTGATGAGTTGAAGCTTTATGGCATTGTTAACTCCTACTTGTTCGGTGGCAATGAGACTCTCGTTGGCAATCTGATCAGAACGGTTCAATTCCTGGAGGAGACGCAACAACTGCTGCTGCAGTCTGAGGTTGCACTTGTGAAACAATGGGCGCAGCTTCTGCCGCGGAAGATGAAGCTGGGCTTTGGGCAATCTGAGCAAGCGGAGGAAATAGCACGTCTGACGGCCAATTCCAAGACGAATCCTCAGTCCACGACCAATCCGAAGACCAATCGCCTGAGTCATCACACCACCAATCACCAGACCAATCGTTCTCACCTTGGTACTGACCAGTTTTGGTAACCGGTCCCCTAACCCGTGCTCTAAAGGTTTTTTGGTTTTCCCGATTCACACTGGTGCACCACCGTAGCCACCGTAGCCGCCGCTGGCCGCCGCCTGTTAACCGATGCGCCGAGCGTACTGGTTTCCCCTCCTGAGACTCACTGGGCACCTCCACACACTGGAGAGGGCAGTGCCGCAGGATCGCCGGAAACCAATACAGAATCATTATTGGATCAACATTGAATCGATGATGAATCGAAATTGAATCAATTAAATCGAAAAGCATAGTTTGATGAAAAAACATTCTAGAGTCCATTTTGGCAAAATGGATCGGATTTTTCGACTTTGCAGAGTCGGAATTACGATCAAGAGCTTCGCGGTAAAACGAACCCAAAACAACTTGACAAAGACCGTTTTTCGAGATTTTGCCTTTTTCATCGTAAAATCTCGGAAGATCGAAAACGCCGTTTTCAAGAATATTTATTGCGGTTTCTAGGCCTGGCGCAAATTCACACTTTGAAGATTAGCAGAAGTGTTCAGCTTTGCGAAGTTTGAACATGAGCTGCAAGATCCATAAAGAATGGCCGTAACAGATATGTGGGTTGCAAACGATATGCTCCAGCCGCCTCTGCGAGCCCGCAGATGTAGCCGGATCTGAGGCTTGTGGGCCGGGGAGAGTGCCTGAGGTGGTGCGGGAAGCGGGCGACGGGATCTTGTTGTCCAACTAGGCACCCGATTGGAAACAAAAACATTCCAGCGCAAACATGGACCGAATTAGAACAAACCTCCAACCCGCCACAATAGAGTAGAGAGAATTGCGATCTTAAAAGATCGGGCAGACCTCGTAAGCCGCCAACTGGACTCAAAACTGCAACGTAGTCCAGTTTCGGGAACACAGCACTGCTCTTGGCGATTTTTAGGAAATCTGAGAGGGAGGAACTTTGTTCAATTTCCGATTACGAGGGCCCAGAAATCACCGAGAGCAGTACTGTGTTCCCGAAACTGGACTGCGTTGCAGTTTNNCCCGAATTTTAAAATCGCGATTCTCTCCGCTCTGATGTGGCGGGAGTCGGAGGCTCTCACGCAAGAGAGGAGGTGCGTGGTTGGCGGATCCTGATTTTCAAAGTACTTGAGAGGTCGTATTGAGGAGAACAGTATTCAATTTGTTTCACTTTAAGTAGGACAGCAACAGACTGTTTGCAAGCCGAAAAACCTTCGATGAAAGCATGTCGATAACGCTTGCGAGAACAGTTGCAATGTTCAGTGGTTTGGCTCGTTGCTGAAGCATGTGTAGCCAGACAGAGTTGCTTTGAGCATCTCTCCCAAAATGTCGGTCAATTCAATGACTTAGTTGGCATGACAATATAAATAAATAAATAAAATAATAAACTAAATAAATGCATAAATACATAAATAAATATATAAATACAAATATGAGTATAAATATTAATATTAATTCAAATATAAATATATACATATATACATATATGTATTTATATATATATATATATGTATATATATATATGTATATATATATAAGTTGCAGATGAGTTCTTCCATTGTTTGTGCCCTACATCTCATCGAAAATGTGCATGGTGCAGGGTCTGGTTGGGCAAGCTTTGTGGACCAGTCTGTCGCACACTGTCAATATGCATATATTTCGCTGGATGCATATGTCCAGATTGCGACCCACTCGATCGCCATCACGACCTTTTGAATGGCACGGAACATGTGACATTGGGCTCAAAAGCATGGCATTTCTTAGTTTTGACGTCAAAGAACATTGGCCTTGGCAGTAATCTGAGGGATGGACAAGACTTCAGCATATGTCATCGAATCCATGATTTCGCATGTTGTCATGCATGGCGTTCTTCCCATGAAGATGCATGTGTCTTACCATCGGCGGCGTTAATGGTGGACACAGTTCTGCTGGGCACTGTGTTTCAACAGGTCCGATGGCCGTTCCATGTTAGCATGATTGCTTTTGTGTGTGTGTGGCTGAATCCTGCACACCGTGGGATGGAGTTCCCGTGTTCTCATCGACTTCTGAATATGTATGTGCTTCACAGCCGCACAGTCAATTGTCAGCACGTGCTTTTAACTTTCGAGCCTCATGTAAAACATGCGGCTGCGGAAGCCCGAACGGACGCAGGTGGCCCGCCATGGCGGCGAGGAGACGAAGCGGTTTTCCGTGGATGCCGATCCGCGAAATGCCTTAAAGGCTCATGCAGTCGTGTCCAAAGCGGGGGCAAGCTTTCGTGCTTGCTGTATTTGTGTCATGTGCTGTGCTTGCTGTGCTTTTCTCCACCTCTAGCGTTGCTTGGGTGGATTGATCGCGAAACGGTTGTTGCGAAAAAACGAAGATTAGGATCATGCATGATATGGCTGGGTTTGAACGATGTGGGTTGAAATCAGGCAGGTGAAGGTGGAAGGTTATGCCCGCGCCTTGGTGGAGGTCACGCTGATGCCTGACTGAACCAATTGTTCTAAAAAACGCGCGACAAGTGTCCTTGCAGGCTTTAGGGTTTTTCACCCGAATTGTTGTAGTTTGAGTTTGGAACTTGGCACACAAGACTTGGTTTAGGGTTCGCACTCCACACGAGGTGCGCTCGGGGATAAGCTTTGTTCATCGTTCCGCTATGGGCTTGCGCAAAGGTCAGCAAGCACGGATTTTGTGTTGACCACCGTCGCTCGTTGGGCTTTTCGGGCCTTGGGTGTAAGCATGCAGCTCTTGTTGCAGTGATTGTAGTGTTTCGCGCCCCGGAGTGCTTTTTGTTTAAGGTTTCGGACTAGAACACAGGTGTTTAGAAATGTCCCCCTTCAGCGTTGATCACAGGCCAAAGTCCAACAGAGACACGGTGTCTTTATCCGCATCACGGGCACGTGGGGTTTGGAGTTTCGCACCCGAAGTGTCACTCGGGTTTGAAACTTCCGAACTACCGTTTGGTTTAGGAAAGATGATCACAGTGGTTTGCACCCCACACTTTCAGGGTTTAGGACTTCGCAGCCCCCCACCACACCTTTGTTTCGCGCCGCGGAGTGCTTTTTGTTTGTGTCGGGATTCCGGCAGCAATCTTCTTTAGGGTCAGGGGCCTAAGGGGTACCGCACCCAGCACGATGAAAAACTGTTCAGGAGGGTTTCACGCCCTGTGCTATTTAGGGTTTAAGGTTTCGGACTAGAGCACAAGTGTTTAGAAATGTCCCCCTTCAGCGTTGATCACATGCCAAAGTCTTACAGGGTTGCGGTGTCTTTATCCGCATCACAGGCACATGGGGTTTGGAGTTTCGCACCCGAAGTGTCACTCGGGTTTGAAACTTCCGAACCACCGTTTGGTTTAGGAAAGATGATCACAGTGGTTTGCAACCCACGCTTTCAGGGTTTAGGATTGCGCATTTCCCCACCACACCTTTGGGCCTTCGGGCCTTTGGTGTAAGCATGCAGAACTTGATGCAGCGTTTCGCGCCGCGGAGTGCTTTTTGTCTGTGTCGGGATTCCGGCAGCAAACTTCTTCAGGGTCAGGGGCTTAAGCGTCTTGCCCCCAGCACAATGAAAAACTGTTCAGGAGGGTTTCACGCCCTGTGCTATTTAGGGTTTAAGGTTTCGGACTAGAACACAAGTGTTTAGAAATTAGAAATGTCCCCCTTCAGCGTTAATCACATGCCAAATTTTTGTGTGTACGGTGGGATTTCGGCAGCAAACTTCGTTTTGGTCAGGGGCTTTCATAAAGGTAGCGCACCCAGCACAATTAAGAAATTGTTCAGGAGGGTTTCACAAGCTGTATTAGTTAGGAATTAAGCTTTCGGACCTACATCAGTGTTTCGCAATGTCCTCCTTAAGCTTTGAGCATGTTGCAAAGCCCAACGGAGCCATGGTGTTTTATTATTTATTCGCATCACCCGCGTTACTGGAATTTGAAAGTTCCCACCCAACACTTGGTATAGGGCCATTACAGATTGGGACACGGGTTCGCACACCACACTTTCAGGGTTTACTGCTTTGCATTTCTTGAATTTGGCGCAACCCAACAAGCCATCATGATGGGTTTCGCACCCCGTTCTTGCTCTTCTTTCCGTTTCAGCGAAAAGCGCATAAACTAACCAGCTGAGGGTCTCCACGGCCAGAGTAGGCGCATTTTTCATGGTTCTTGTTGCTGTTGCTGTTGTTGTTGTTGTTGTGGTGGTGGTGGTGGTGGTGGTGTTGTTGTTGTTGTGGTGGTGGTGGTGGTGGTTGTGGCTGTGTTGGTTTTGCTATGGTTGTTGTGGTTGTTAACCTTGTTGTTAACTTTGTCGTTGGCATTGCTTCTACAGTTTTTCTGCTGCCACGCTGCACTTGCTTCTGCTACTGACTGATTGGCGTTGTTGCTGGCTGCCGGCTTTGTGCTGCCGCGGAGGCTTCTCTCAAACAGATGAAAGGCCGTGTGCTGCGGCTTAGCCTGCTGCGACTAGACTGAATTCCTTGGTGTCGTTCAACCGAACCGTATGAGCGCGAGAGCCGGCCTCATGGTTGCACATCTAATTCTGGGCAGCTTAGGTTGCACGAATACCGTGCTGACGGATGTCTCCAGCCGCATGACGGGCCACTGCAAGCACTGGCGGCACTGGAAAGAGTCGAAGGTTCGCTGTTTGTTACGGTCGTGTTATTCGTACTATGCAATTATTGGGAGAGAGATGATCTAGTGAGAATCTAATGAATTTTGCAGAAGCCGCCCACGCACGATCGGAGCTGGAAGGTTCTTCTGCCAACTTTGACCACTGCATGAGCCAGCTGGAATTCATGCGACGGGACTGCTGTGCTGGAAGGGGATTTTGTCCTGTTGTTTGCACAGAGGCTTCTGACCTAGAGCAGGCGTAAGTTCGCACTTTATCTATTCGGCAATTACGAAATGCAGGCCTGTCCCATCATCTCGCCAGGAGCTTTGTAACAACTTCGCGACGCACCAGCCTCCTGTGCAGATCGCTGCAGGTGCTTCTGGTGCACACCTACATAAACACACGGCTGTTCAGGTGTTTCTGAATGTTTGCGAAGTGCGGAATTCGTTGCAAGTCCTCCATCTGCTCTTGCCACTGGCCCTGGCGCAGAGGTTTGCTGCAGGGTCTGGCATTGGACGGGCGGCTGGGAGCACCGGCAGCTCTCGCTGATGCTTTGCTGGGTCGAGGACTGCGGCACGGAAGGGCCTTTGGCAGAAGCTGCTCTTTTTCTGACAGTCTAGATCTTCTTCCGACAGGTGGGGATTTTCGGATAAGTCGAGTACAGCGATGTGCTGCAGAGTGGCGCTGGCGGCTCGGCGTCCGCGCTGCACTCGCGCAGAGTGGACTGGCTCAGGCAAGGGCTCGGGCTTGCGTTGCTGACTCTCAGCGTGCGGTCCTCGAAGGCGCTGGCTGCTGGGGAGCTCCGCCTTAGCTTGGAACCCGACTTTGCCTTGACACTCGACGCCCCGGGTGCCTTTGTGTTGCGCCTTCAGCGCCTTGTCAAAAGTGTACGAGTTCTGGGGTAGGTGTATGCTTGTGCTAGAAGTTTGTTTCGGCTCGCTTAGCACGGATCGTGCTAGTTGCGCTGGAATGCCTTGCTCGATGACTCTCTGGGCTCCCTCAAAGGTACGACCTGCGACGATGGCTTGTGCTCGACTCCAGCTTGTCCTCGCAGGACTGTGAATGCATCTGCGCTTTGTCACTCGTTGCCTCGTGGAACACACAAAGCGACATGAGCAGAATATCTTCACTTATCTTACACCAGGGTCTTGGGGCAACTGTGTCGCTGCCCGTCGACACAGAGCAAGCCTGGCGCAGGCACTCAGATTTATTGGTTGTGCTCGCCAAGAGTAGAAGGACACATGCAGCAATGAATCTAGAACCAGTGCGATAATCTGTTGGACACATCCAGCTTGGTTCAGCGTTGATATAGTGACTGCCTGTCAGGCAGTTGCAGGGAGTGGCAGACGAAGCAGCGCCGTGGTCTCGTCACATTCTCATGTCATGCATAGCGAGCATCTATGCAGGGGTAAGCACGGATCAGTGTCCGGCTTTGCTTTCGGTACTCTCGACTGTCGGATGACGAGGGAGGCACAGTAGGCGCAAATGGAGAGTTGGGGCTGCTGTTTAATTTTCACAGGCTCTCCAACAGGGGGATTGAGGTTTGGTCGCCTTGGTCCTTGGACCTTTGTTGCTACCCACCTTCAGAAGCAATGATGCCCGGACCGGAGAGCTGAAATGGTTGAACTTCAACAGGTAGGTTGTTTTGGGTCAGCGTAATGAGAGGAAGCAGAGTGCATAAACAGGAGGCAATTTCTTGTTGCCACCTAGGAGTGCAGACTCCGATGTTCCCGCAACGGACTCGGAAGCATTCTCGCAAAGCTGGGTTTGTCCAAAGCCCTGATTTGTGAGTCGCGAGGCTGCTTTGGCGACGGCTGCACATTTCTTCTGTCCGGGACCTGGATACTTCAACAATCTTGGAGAGGACCTAGAGTGCTAACATTCACAACAGGTGACCAAACGTAATAACGGGGAGGAGGTGTCGGAAACATCTGCAGTGACGCTGCGAGGCTCACACCTCTGGCTCCAAGCCTGCTGTGATGAGGCGCGTGCGGCCCATGGGCAGCTGCGGGAAGCTGGTGGCTGAGTCTCTTTCTTTCGGGTGGACGCTCGTTCCGTACAGAAGCAACTCTCCAAGGTGAGCAGCACTTTCTGGGATCGCCGCGGCTTTGCATCTCTCCGCATCTTGCCAGTGCCTGGACTGCAGGTTCTTGCTCTGATGAGCTGCTACGTTACTCGGGAAGTGGAGTCTGCAGTGGGCGAGTTCCGAGGACTGGGAACCTACCTGTGGTGGGATTTGTGCAGCACCTGCAGCCAGTTCCACCCGTGCCTCCACGGATGAAACTCAAGGCAGTCCGTGGGAGCAGCACAGCGGAGAACGGTGCTTGTAGCTTTCTCGCAGGTCCGGCAAGTGGGATCACCTTGGAGCTGCACAAGGTTGAGCGGCGCGTCATGCATGTGCATGTAGACTCATGTAGACTCTGTGCCGTCTCAGGATCCTGACGGAGGGATTCGCCCTGGCCTCGTGTTCCGCAATGTTTCGCAGTGGCGGGCGAACATGTGGAGCCGCTTTCAGGCCCCAGCCTGCCTCCGGAGTTCGCTTCGCTCGCTCCGCTGCCGGTGCAGCCGCCCTCGCGACTCGCTTCCTTGGGCGGGGTGGGACCTTGTCTCGACGAGGCGAGACATGGATGTGCTCTCTGGAAGGCTCCTGCGATTCTGTGCTGAGTGCAGGTCTTGCGCCAAGCACATGCTGCTGTTTCTGCATTCACGATGCGGCGGCTGCGGGTAGGATTGCTGCAGGCCCCGGATACAGAACCTGTGTAGAATCCGAGTCCGTCACAACAGCTTGTGCGCGATTACAGGCAGTGAAAGGCTTTGTGAAAGCTCCAAGCAAGCACTGGCGAGGTCGTTCCTTCAAGAGGCGCGCCGCTTCTGGATGAATCGCAGGCCGTGGGAGGAAAGACTGCGTTTTTTTGGGGCTGTCGCCTCAAGGGATTCTAACTCATTCAGGATAAGTGGAATCAGATTCGTTTGCAGCGCGGCGTGCCTGGCCGAGGAGACTTGGTTTTGTCCTTCCAAGCCTATTTTCCAAACTGCTCGTCACTCGTGAATGTGTCGGTCCGTCTGTGCCACAGCCTGAGCATCCTTCGCCGCTACCTTCAGCCACCATGAACTTCTTCTGGCACATATCGGGGACCTGTCTGGACTCTGCGTTCCATGCTTCTTGTCAGGCATTGTCTAGAGTTGGTGAGCGCCAGGTGGAGGACCTGCCAGATGGACAGTCGCACTGAGCTCAGGCTCAGGCTCACCCAGGAGCGCCTTGGCCAAGTGTTCCGGGCTCAGGCTTCGTTGTCTGCGTCGGGGCTGTTGGGCTTGGCCCCGAGCTTGCCGACAGGAACCAACAACAACAGTTGCGTGCTCTGGTGCTCTGGTGCTTTGCAGGTCCATGTCGGTCTCGATGCCTCTGGGTGCCTGGCACTCGAGGCCCAGGGCTGCACTGAGCCACGGCGGCAAAAGGCGAGACCAGGGACTGTGTCCACATCGGAGCTCAGTTTCATTGCCGATGCCTTGTTTGTGCCTCGTGTTAGGCTGCTGGCGGTTGGGGCCCTGCAAGCTGCATGTGCACAGGCATGTGCTTCGCAAGATTATAGTACTTAGTACTTCCACAGAAAGCGCGTGCTTTTAGCCGTGGGTGGTTGCCACCTAATGAGATACAGCTTGCAGTGGCTCAGGAGGCCATCAAAAATGCGCAGATGTAGATCGCATGCTTTACTTGTACTTCCCTAAGCTTTTACTTCTTGCCGAGGTCATGAAGGCTTTCTCCTGAGAATGGAGGTTCTCCAGCGTATGTTATGCGGGTCAATCCATGTGCCTTCTGCCACGTTCCTAAACTTCGAGATCGAAAGGCCTTGCGCTTTGCTGCGCTGCGCGAAGCTGCGGGCGCAGCCGTGGCTGCAGAAGGCTGGCAAAGCTCGGCGCCTAGATCTGTAGAGGGCTCTGCTTGCTTCGATTCGGCATGCTTGCAAGGGGCACATGTCGAGGGAACAGTGATTCTCTCGAGATGCGTGGCCATTGAGGCAATGTATCAGATGCCCCCGAATCTGGCTGTGTGCACTTTACTTGCCGTTCGGCAGAGGAGCCCAAAAGGGATTTGCATGTGACTGCAGTTGAGTTGTTGTCATGGAGTTGCATGGGGCATCGTTAATGTTCGTTATCATGGGGACCGGGCTGCGATTGCATTCGACTTCGCAGTGCAGCACTGCAGTCGTCTGTTGACGTGTGTGGTTCCTCCAATGACTGGAGGACCGGCTAGATGCCCTTGAATTCGATCTGGGAGACAGCGCTGCTGGCCAAGAGTGTAGGAGCTCTGGGTGTTCAGGTTAAGCCGGGTTGCTCCTCGAGGATGCTCCTGAATCTCTATGCGAAATCGAGCCAACATTTGTTGTGCAATAACTTGGTCAACGATTAGCAGTAAGACAAGGGACCCACGAGGAGGGATGACTGATCGGATTTCTGGATTTCTGTCGGTGCCTGAGGAAATCTCCAATGTCAATCTGGTGGTGGAGGTTGGGCCCATCTGTCTCTTTGTACAGAATGCAGGTAAGCGGCATCCTGCCACATGTGACACATGGTGCTATCTTCTCTGTCTTCTTGAAGACTGCCTTGTGAACTTTGGCGTGCTCTAAGAGGGCATCATCTGTTCTAGATTCAAGATCTCATTTTGCAAGGGTGGCGCATGCATCCATGCTACTGGTCTGGACAACTTCTCCTTTGTACAGCCTGGAGGCACACTTGGGTTCTTTGCTTTCCATTCGTTGCCAGTACGTAGAAACGACTATCTGCAGATCAGGGCAGCAGGGTGCAATGTTGGCGAGCGTACAGATGCTCGGACTGTTGCTTGCAGTGGCTTCGTCGGCCTGCTTTCGTCATCCTTCAGATCTTCGCCACGATCTGTTCCGCTCACCGGCTATTTGCGCACCTTGAGGCTCAAGCCTTGAGGTGTGTTTTAGCCAAGGAAGTCTTGTCAAACAAGCTCAGTCCACCGGATTCCGTGAGCACATGAGTCATGTTGGCAGGAGAGTCTGCCATCATTGATCTTCAGAAAGGGCTAAGGCCGCCCGTTGCAGCAATTTTCCGCACTGCGACCCTTTCGGAGTTAGCAGGAGCCCTGAGCGTACACGAGTCCGGCGACTGCAATAAATTCACTGAGCAGAAAATCCTGTAATGAACAGGCCGCAGCATCCTGTTTCTCTGTTCGTTGCCACCTCCTGTCAGGCAGCACTTGGCCCAGGCACAGCTGCTTCTAGCGGTCTCCACTCTGGGCCGCGAGGCCACTAGCCTGTGCCGGCATTGCACGGAAGCCTGCTTCAGATGCCCGTTACGCCTATCGGCCTATCGTTTCCCGAAACACAGGGGGCGCGGCTTTGGCTAGGGAATTGTGCATGTCGTCGTGGATGCTTCAGGAAAAGATATTTCAAGAGGGAATCCCGGGAGATCGCATCCGTGTCGCCGGTCCATGGAAGGGATTCTTTTTGCAAGGGTGGTGTTGTGTGTCGAGGGATGGTGACTCGTAACTCTTCACAACATGTAACCAATGTAACCATGTAACATGAAGAAGAAGAGGCGAACATGGCTTAGGTGTGGGTCATGCCTGTTGGAGAGGGTGGAAGTTGTTTGCTCCAGCATGAGCCTATTGGGCTTTTGTCTTTTTCTTTCCTCCCTCTCCCGTCCCTCTCCTTAGCTATCTATCTATCTAACTAGCTAGCTATCTGACAATCTGTCTATCTGTCTATCTGTCTGTCTATATCTCTCTCTCTCTCTGTATATATATATATATGTATTTATATATATATATAAATATATATATATATATAAAATATAAAAAATATAAAATATATATATATATATATCTCTCTCTCTCTCTCTCTCTCTCTCTCTCTCTCTCTCTCTCTCTCTATCTCTCTCTCTGATTCGGAGCAGGCTTCGGAGTATCTGAAAGGTGTCGGTTGTTTCTCGGCTTGCTTAGCAAGTTCTCCCTGGATCCGTCGTCCTCGTCGGAAGAATCAAGACCTCTGGAGCTGCTGGGAACCTTCCTACGCACATGGCGGTCAGGTCATTGTCACCGTCGCCGAGCATGCAAAGGTTTTAGAGGTGCCTGAGTCAAGCTGACCATTTCAGTTGCCACTTCTGCTACACCTTGGTGTGGAGTTGCAGAGGCCTCCGGATACGAGGCCATTCTCGGGCATGTAGCTTCTCCAGTGCCCGGCACCCTCGAGCAAGGGTCTCAGCCAGGATGTGAGGAACACTTGCATGTTTGCTTCCTCGAACTGCAGGGGCGAGCTGTGCTTCAAGCGCCTTGATGCGGTCGAGGTCCAGGATGTTGGGCTAAGAGTGACCGTGTCTCTCTGGAATGCCTTGCGAGCCGACAAAAAAGGCCACCGGGAAGCTGGCGCCGACGCCGTTCGCGTCGCCGCTACGCTTCCAGGCACTATGGAGCCTTTGTGGAATTTTGCGGGAGGCTTGTGGTGAAGCACAGCATGTGCGCATGAACAACCGCAAACGGCGTAGCTGCCTTAAGCACTCTGGCTCGACGCTCGACGCCTTCAGCTTTTTCTGCTAGCATCCCTTGCGCCTCGGCGATCATGGCCTCCAACGATCCTACGGCGGTGGCCCTTCAGCTGGTGGCGGCAGTCACGGCGGCCCGACGCACTGGCATGGTGCCAGTCGTTGGCTCCTGACGGCGGACCAGGTGGCAGACTTGAACGATCTGACGACGATTGCCAACCTGGTCCAGCAGGGGTTTGCTGAGGCGGCGGCGTCGGCGGAGGTGGTACAGGATTTTCCCCCTTTGGTTGGTGGAGGCGTCGGCGGTGGATCGACGGTGCCCTCCTGCAGGGGTCCAGACACCTGCTGCTACGGCGGAGGTGGCCACCAAGGCGATGCCGGAGCTGGGGTTGCGCTCGGCGCCTACGACGCCAAAGAACGCACCCCCACCGGTGCCGGTGGAATCCGACGATGATGGGGCGAGTCGGCGCCCGCAACACAAGGCTCCTCCGGCGGTGCCCTCTACGACGTGGAGAATCACACCGCTGCACGATTGCGCGGCGGCGCCTATTCGTCCACCGGCGTCCTCCACACACATCCGGGACTCGACGGTGCAGGTCAAGGCCTTCCCGACGAGGCGGTACCCAACATCTCCACGGGCAGCGGCGGGTCCTCGGACGCCTGCTGCCCCAACGGCACCTATGCCTTCGGCTCACTGGCGGCGAGACCCCGGCGGACTTCTTTGTGACCCCTGCATGATGCGAAGGCGCGAGCTGCGCCGAGGTTGGCTGCTGGAGTTAACCCCTTCGGCGCGGCCATCTCGATGAGTGCCTCGGCGTCTGGGTTGGCCACGCCTGCGCAGTCTACGACGGGCCGGCGCCCGCCCAACATGCAGGAGATCAAGGCGGCGCTCGACGTCCAGTCCGCGGCCATGGCACCGGCTTCACCCTCGACGGCTTCTACCAGACCGACGTCACCAAGGGGTCGGGGCAACGCCCCGTTCGAGGCGCTGATGCCCTCGACGACGCTGACGGCGCCCGAGCCGGAGACGACGACGGGCCCACAGCTGATCGACCCGGACCTGGGCATTCCGGCGGTCGCGACGGTGGAGGCGGACACCTTCTAGTGGTGGACCCACCGACGGCGGCAGGTTCGGCCAGCGAGTTCTTGGGGGCGGCCTCGGCGGGGCACCGCCCAGGCCCATTCCGACGGTGCCGGAGGAGGAGCGGCCAGAGCCATGAGAGATGCCGGCGGTGGAGCGGAGGTCTTCTTTCCCTCCCTTGACGGCAGAGGCGACGGGCAGAAGGGACAGGAGGGCCCCCAGCACGGCGCGCCGGCGAGGCTCGATGGGCTCGGCGGCCAGACCCAACCGGGCCAACAACGGTTGGGGCTTTGTCCTTCGCCTGGGCGGGGCCGTGTTCTATGATCACGGTGTGGTGCCGGCCTGGTTTCTGCAGAAGTTCGAGCCTTCAAAAAAACATGTTGGAGATCTTCGCCCAGGTGGTGGCGCTGGCGGCGTTCTCCACCCACCTGCCCGGCGAGGTGACCGCGTTCATTGACAACACGGCGGGCCAGGCGGCGTTGTCAAAGGGGTACGGGAAGGACCCGGCGATGAATGGCATGTTGGCTGCATTCTGGGCCCTTGCGGCGCGACAGGGGACCATCGTCGATTTCCGGCGCGTCCCGTCCAAGGCGAATGTGGCCGACGCAGTTTCCCGGGATGATTTTGGCAGGGCGCGGCGCGAAGGCTGGACGAGGGTCCATGTCCCGGCGTCGCCCATGCACATCTTGGCGAAGGCGGTCGACGACCTGCTCTATGCGGTGGATGGTGCGGCGGGTGACCTACTGAAGTGCTCCACTGAATGGTTCGGTGAGCCGGCGCGTGGTGGGGCTGTGTGCGCCGGGCGGTGCTGAGATGCGCACCCGGCGCCGGCCGTAGGACCAGAACCTGCACGCCGAACGGCGCTTGCAGCGCTTCCATCCACACGACGGAAAAAGAGTCGTCCAGTTTTGGCGTCTGAGTTAAGAGTGCGGCGGTTGTTGTGAAGCACAGCATGTGCGCATGAACAATGAACAACCGCAAACGGCGTAGCTGCCCTAAGCACTCTGGCTCGACGCTCGACGCCTTCAGCTTTTTCTCCCACCCACGCCACATTTAAAGGGTGTTCGGCGGCGGTCTGTCCTCGGCGGGCCGGTGCTGAGATGCGCACCCGGCGCCGGCCGTAGGACCAGAACCTGCGCGCCGAACGGCGCTTGCAGCGCTTCCATCCACACGCGGAAAAAGAGTCGTCCAGTTTTGGCGTCTGAGCTAAGAGTGCGGCGGTTGTTAAAGGCTCTACCGTCAGCGTCGTATCATCTCCTTTCTTTGCTTTTGGAGGTTTGGGAGAGGCCAAAGCGCCTCGTGCTGGTCGGCCAGCTTGCCGGCAAAGCCCTGGCCTCACGAGCCAGAGCATGGACGTTTCGGTGCAACCTGTTGTATGTGTGTGTGTGTTCTTTTTTCTTGCGTGTTTCCCATCAGGAGCTCAGCTCTAGTATATGCCGAAGTCCATGACCGTAGATGGCCTCAATGTACATGAGACTCCTTTTCGTACGGAACAAATAGTGATGCCACCGCATCGCACCAGCCGAAGCCCACAACGCCTTCCCTGCACACTGGCAGCTAAGCTATATTTCTTCGGTCATAGCTATGGCCATGACGGATTCCAGAAGATGCTCGCCTTTGAGGCTTGGAGGGAGGGCTTTGCAGTGAAGGAAGGGCTGCTGTTGTGTGCTGGTGGTGAGACGGGAAAGGCATGTTCTAAGCCCGCATGCTCAGCGGAGGGAAGACTCGTAAAGAAAAGACAGAGTGGGAAGAGGCTGATTCCAGGGCTGCCTGCACAGATATGCAGCGGTCAATGTCTCCTTTCTCGCACGTCGTCACCATGGTGGCATCTGTTCATTCCTGGTCTTTTGCGGGCCTCAAGAGCTGCACCCAGGCACTTGGTCAAGGCTGTGTGGTTGCACTCGCGGGGGGGACTGAATCGTTTTGTTGACGCCTGTTGCCTTGCGGAGCCTGAAGTCTTCTTCGGCCGGAGGCGGCTTGGCTTGTGCTCTGCTGAGTACCGTACCAGCCTCCCGCCCATAAAGCCGCACGAGCCCAACAGGCCTGGGCTTCTCTCAGTTCCGATCTTCTCTCCGTTGTCGCAAGATGGCAGATCCGACTCGTAGATAACTGTGGAGAAAAGAATAGAAAGGAGTAGATTTCTCAGATTCTCCAGCATGAGCGGCGGGCATGTAGCAGGCCACACAGCGTTCCTCAATCAGTTCCTAAAGAAGCAAGATGGGTTGAACAGCTTGTGGAAGCTTGGGTCAACCATCGCCAACTTTTGGCATGTGGACTGGCGGAGTGCGCATGGCCAGAGGCGGAGGAGTCTGCCTCCTTTCCGGACCTTCCGCAGATTTGAGCACATGTGTGCACTAGAGTGTACGTTGGTGCTTCAATTGTAGGATGGCAGGAGCAATGGTGATGCTTACGTCAAGACACCAAAGTCTGTCCTACCCATGTGCAGGGCACTGGGACGGCTTTGCGATGCGATGTGTGGTGCTGCAGCGCGGCGGCGCCAGGCATCCAAGGTCCACGTTTCTCCTGCTACTTCTGCTCGGCTCTTCAGTGATGTTCAACTATCGGCTTTTCCAGATTCTATCGGGCTTTGTGAGAGGTCCTAACCCGGGCACGACAGAAGTGCATCGAGCTGCGCGACAAGGATGCATCACGGACTTTGTGTGTCAGCTTGTTGGAGAAGTTCAAGGCAGGGAATCCGATGTTCGGCTTTTTGTCGGTGCAGCATGTATTCTTCGACAACACGGCTTCGGAGAGTGCATGTTCTCTTCAAGGACGACGCCGGCGATGACGCAGCTTGGAAGCGGTGGAAGGGCGTCTGCGAGCGTTGCATGGCGGTCTGCGAGCTCTAAGGACTTGCCTTTGCAGCATCTTCGTGCTGCGGAGCAGCACTTGGCCGCGGTGGAGCGCTGGCTCCGCGGCCAAGGCCCTGGGCCGCCCTGAGCAGTGCAATGCAGTGCAACGCAGGGCCCAGAAGCATCCGCAAGCATCCGCAAGCCGCAACAAGCCGCAAACAAGGCAAAAGAGGATGTGGCAATGCTGATGCTGGCGCAGGGAATGAGGGGGTTTGCTAATCTACACCTCTGGTGTCATAGGGTCACAGCAACACGTCTGACCGAAGCAGTATACATGTGGGCTGATTCGAAGCAGCATGCCACCAAAGGCCACAGCGTGGAGAGCCCATGATGACGTCCCAATCAAGCAGACTCCGAAGCGAGAAACGGCGCAATTCGGAAACGGCCGCCCAGCGTAACCAACTTGGATGATGGCCCTGCAGCCCCCTGCAGCCCGGGGTCTTCCGCAGCCTTATGCTGCGGCAGGTCTCAGACTCGGAGATGAAAGCCCCCTGCGAGGCCATGAAGAGGGCGCCGAGAACCTGCGCAAGGCTGGACGTTGAGTTGGTTCGGGGTCCAGGAAGACTTTGCTGTTGGCTTCGGCGAAGCTGAAATCTCAGGAACTGGGCGTCAGTGAGGCGCAACGGCGCATGAGCAGCAGCCCCGAGGCGAGTGTTGGGAGCACTGATCAAAGGCTCGCACCTTGTTCTTTGTGCGTGGGTCTTCGGATTGCCAGGCCATTGAGTTCACCCAGAACTTCGCCGATATCGAAGGCGTGTCCGGAAGCAAGACAACGCCAGGGTCTTTGGAGCTTCGCGATGTCAAATCTAGATTTAGGGAAGGCAGGTTGTACTTGGAGCGGTGCCCAAGGAAGACATGCCAGTTGGAAAGCCTTTGAAGTAGGACGTGCAGGCGTCTAGCCGCTACTGTAGCCTTCATCCTGTGGTAGAGGTCGTCGTAGAGTGCGGTCAGAGTCTCGGTGCTGCCAGGCGAAGTGTTCGTCCAGGCTTTGACGGGATCTGTGAAGGTAAAGAGCTTCCGGCATCCAGGCCCCTTGCACACTTCCCACATGTGCCGCTGCATGGCAGCTAGCGGACCTAGTCTGAGGAGCGGGCTGTGTTCAGGCAAAGTCTTTATCACCAACGTTCGCCTTTGCTTCTTCTCCTGCGTCCTGGGCGTGGAAGTTTCTTGCTCCGCGAAGTGGGAAGAGATCGCCAGCTCCCGGGCTGGAATCTGGGGAACTGTCCTGTTTCCATCGCCTCCACGCATGTGAACTGCAGACCAAGGTTTGAGGTTGGTAGACACGGCACACGCCCAGACATACCCTGTGCTCGTCTATTTCAAGGATGAGATCGAATTCGATGGTCAGGAGCGTCGGTGTAGCAGCTCTCACATCGCCAGGTTTCTTCATGCCTTCTTGGCCTGAGGGCGTCAAAGAGCTGGACTTGCGGATATTTGAGTTCGCGGATCTGGGAGCGCTGCAGAAGAGTGCGACCTACTTCGTGCCGCCCGCAATTTGGAAAGTTTTGAAAGTCTATTGCCATCTCCGTGGCTGTGTTGCTTCGCCCATCAAGATCGAAACATGCACAGGTCAAGCAGTAATGCAGACAGTTTGGCTTGTCCGATCTGCAAACAAACTACCCTGAACTAGCAAGAAAAGTAGCTCCGTAGCTGCCTTGTTTACGGAGAAAGACTCTCACCAGGGTTTCTGTGACTGGCTTGGTTTGAAGGTGGGTGCAGACCTTTTTGGCATCTACGAGGAGGCTGAGGCCAAGAAACCTGCACCAGCGACAGCATCGCCTGCGATCACCCGCCTTGAGCGCACGTCATCGCTTATCTCGCCGGAAGCAGTCCCTGGGCACAGTGAAAGCATCCCCAGTTGTCATCTTCTGCAGCACCGTGAAACGCATGTCGGAAAGTGTTCACCATTTCTTGCGAACTTCCAGGTGCTGAAAGAGCTGTCCATGTGGGAACTGGAGCGGCGTACCAATCTGTTCAAAAGCAACTGGAAGGCACCATACTTTCCACATGATGGAGTCGGGAAGATGCCTGGTGTGCATCAGAGCTGCATGGGGCCGGGGAGGTCAAGGAAAGGCGTGCCACTCAAGACCTGCTGGGGAATGCTTTCGCCCAGGATGAAGTGGGTGTCCTTCGAGGACAACTCCTACTCGCGCCATCCCTTCATCCCTGAAGGTGTGGACGAACAGAAGATTTCGGCCGCTCAGATTGAATGCCACGGAAGTTCCTGCTACCGCGCACATGCGCAATTCATGCGCACATACACAGTGTGTGCATCCCACTCCGAGCCGGGGACTAATATGGAGCACAGTAGGGAAACTGCGTGACATGTTGGGCGTGTCAGCCATGTGCGTGGAAGGGTTTCTTACTTAATAGGAAATTAATCGGAGAACTTGTTGTTCAATGGTAGGGTCGTCCAAAAAGGTAGACTGGAGGCGATATTCGTTAATTTTATCAAGAAATAACAGAATTCAAGCAGCTCGAAGTGAGAACACTCTACGAATGCAAAAAAGACGACCCACTGAATGCAAGCAAGCATACCGAAGATTCAGAATGTCATCACGAGTAAGCAAGCAAGAGAGCGAACAAAGAATGGATTATCATACCCAAGGCTAGTGAGACACCTCCGGTGGAGGTGGTGGAGTTTCTCGGCGAGCGCCGACGATGCACCTGGACAGCGCTCGCGCATGCATCACTCGACGCGGAAATGTCAACTTTGTGTTTGGTGGACTGTGCGGGGTTGCCGCCACCAGGAGCACTTTCCCGGTGGAGGGTGAAACGGATGAGCTTGGATGGCAGTACTCCACTGACTTTGCATCTGGGCTCCACCGTAACTGTGCAATACTGTTTGTTGCGATTCATTCCATTGGAACTGAGGTTCTTGGCAACACTGGCTGGTTGCCATACTGTGCGAGCATGAGCTTCGTCAGGCGCAGGCGCATTCCGCCTAATATGATTTGTTTGAGACCGCTGGTGGCTACCGTGGTGGGAAGACTTTACGATGGCTTGCAGATCGAGATACTGTCTTGACCAAAGGGCTGAAACCGTTTTGTCCGATCAGAGAGGGTGCAGCACCTGCAGAACTTGTATAACTCCAATCCCTCGAGGTGTTGGAAGCCTTCTTTCTACACGGATGCGGAGGATGATGCTAAGGCAAGAGACCGCGCGCCGACGACCATTCTGCAGAATAAGGCAGGGGTGGGACTCTCTACAGAGGGTGGGCTGCATCCCACTTCGAGTTAGTTGGTCTCACGAAGCAGCCAACAGGATTCGAAAGGGGCCAAGTTCCCGATCTTCGAGCAGGTCCTGGGGGAAATCTCCCTAGAGGCTGCGGCATGAGCTGTCCTAAGGTTTCGCTCGGAGCAGGTTGTGCCTGAGCAGCTTGAGCACAGGCAAACTGACTTACTTCACTGACTTGTATCTGGTGAGGTGTTGGGTCAGTCTCTACTCACTGACGACTGGCGCGATCCCGACTGCCTCATGAACTTCTATTGGGAGGCACCGTGGCTTCATGCCTATTTTTGTCGGTGACTGTCTAGGTCTTGCTTTTATAGTGTTGTTGTAGGAGGTTCCACTTTTGAGCAGACGATTGTCTGTTCACCCCTCCTTGGACGTGCCCTTGTTCAATCCCGGCTATCTCTCCGATACGAGCTTGCACACCCTTTGGACGCACGAACCCCCTTCTGCTGCAGCATGCCCCATCTGGGTTGGCACAAGGTGTTAGGAGCTTCTCAGCCGTTTAGATGCTTCATTCACGTGTTTGCCACTCGGGGTTTATTCCGCTCGCGTCGCAGACGCAAGTCCCAAACCTGAAATCTGCTAACCCTTCTGGGGGCAGTCAGTCCCGAACGGAGAGAAGATGCTTAACGATATGCTGGGCAAAGTGAAGACAGGAATAGAGCTGAATCAGTACGTTCAAGTGTGCGTCCCCGCACGATGCCCCTGCCCTGCCGCTTGGACCTGATACCTGAACCCCGGCACGATAGAGCGAGGATACTATGAGTGCTAAAGTCGGGAATCACGGAGGGCCGGAGTCGCGAAACTTGCATTACAAGGGTCAAGCATCAGCTGCCGTCAGTAAAATGGTGAAGCTGTGGAGTCTTGGGGTATAGGTGAGAACAGTTTGCGGCCTCATTGAACGACCAAACGTCCAGATAGCAGCTCACGGGTTCTGTCGGTTTCAGATGTCAGGCCTGCTCTTTTCAGGCTCGAATTTCGGGACCGAATTTCAGGCCCGCACCCACGCAACATCTCTTTTAGGGATTCGGTTTCTGACCCCGCAACTCCGTTTAGGGTTTAGGTTTCTGACCCGACATCTCGTTTTCGGGTTTAGGTTTCTGACGCAATTCTGACCCAGCATCTCCTTTTAGGGTTTAAGTTTCTGAACCAACATCTCCTTTTGGAGTTTAGGTTTCTGATCCAACATCTCCTTTTAGTGCTTAAGTTTCTGAAACAACATCTCCTTTTCAGGGATTAGGTTTCCGAACCAACGCCTCTTTTTTACGGTTTTGGGTTCTTAACCAGCAGCTTCTTTGAAGGTTATTCACCGTTCTCATCCCGTTGTAGGATTCGGGGTATCGCAATCAACATCTTCTTTTAGGGTTTGGGGTTTCTCAACCAACATCTCGCGTTACGGTCCTAGGTCCTAGGTTTGACAACCAACATGTCGTTTTCGGGTTCTGCATCTTTCCGTTTAGGGTCTAGGGTTTGCCAGCTTTCATCCGGTTTAGGGTTCTGGGCAGCCAACAACTGCTTTCATGGCTTATTGCTTCTCAACCAACATCTCGTTTGAGGGTTTAGAGTTTGGCAACCAATATCTCCTTTCAAGGTTTAAAGTTTCTCAACCAGCAGCTACTGTTCGGGTACCGAGTATTGCAAGAAAATTTCTTTTCAGGGTTTGGGGTCTTGGCAACCAACATCTCTTTCAGCATTCCGGATTTTGCAGCCAACATCGCGTTGGGGCAAATTTGCGAGTCTTGAGTTTCTCAACCCTCACCTCCTGTTAGGGTTTGCGTTGCCCAACCCAAGTCTCCTTTTCGGGTTTAAGGGTTTGTCAGCTTCCTCTGCTTTCAGGGTTCTGGGTTTCGAACCAACGTCTGCTTTTCGGTCTTGGGGCGTCTCAACCATCATCTCTGTCCATGGTCTTGGCTTTGGCAACCAACATTTCCGTTTGGGGTTTAGGGTTTCTGAACTGAGTTTGTCGACCAACATCTCCTTCTAGGGTTTGGGGTCTGCTTTCAGGGACTTGTGTTGGGGAGCCAACATCTCTTTTCGGGCGTTTGTACCCGTTGGAAGCCGCGCCGCCAAGTATTTGGAGCATAAGAGGTCATTGACACACAGGTGGCCCTTACTGCTGCAGTGGACTCTGTATGGAGTCGACAGGGACGGTGGAAGAAAACATAGAGCAGATGAGTTTCTCCAAGCAGCGGTGAGCGGTGCTCTCGCGATAAACATTGTGCAGTAGCATCCCCAAGGCCCGCAGGCCTGAAGCTCGGAACCTTCACCTTAAACTCTCAATCCATCGTTTTCATGGGGGCCCTGTGGGGGAGGAGATGGGCTCTGTGGACTTGGAGATCAGCGCATGGAGCGATGGCAGCAGCTTCGCCTCGGTGGTAAAGGGAAAGGTGGCTCGACTCTTTTGAATTCCCCACCCTGAGCCGCCTAGGCCTGCGCCCTGAGATTTTTGAATCTTGAGTAGGAATACCCTGACAAAGCAAATGCTACGATGTCATACTATGACTATGACTATGACACGGGAATAGTAGACTGTAGACTAGGCGGACAAGCTGGACAACAGCAGGAATGTGAAAAAGTAGAACTGTACTGCTGTAGCATGAAGACGGAGTAGCAGAATACTTGAAAAAAAGTTCTAGATACAAGCGAGAGCGCGCGAAAGCATAAGATGCTGTTGCAGTCAGAATCGTGCCGTAACAGAATCGATGGAAAACCAAAATCGTGGACATTGGAGCACTCAGTGGTGAACCGCACGGTACCGAAAGTGGGAATGAGAGGCCAGTACATGCTGGAGAATTTTAATATTCGCGGCTAGAGTAGTAAACGAGTAGATTTGCCGAGCCAATACATGTGGTGTTCACACCACGCGATAGAATCCCAATCAAACACCGAGCAACTCACTTGCGTAATCGATCACTAGCGCACTTGGCGGATTGAGCAGCAATGCGATGGAGGACGATATTCGCAGAGTATTTCAATGCCGGCGACCTATAAGAAGGAAGAAAATGGACAGGGAACTATCAACATGAGCTGGAAGAACGTTGAAGAAGGGACTCATCCAATGAAGTCGAGATGCAAAGCGATGAGGGGATTCGCCTCTTCGAGTTGCGTTAAAGTAGAAGGTAGCAAGATTGGCACAGAGACAGAGAAATCAAAGCGGGAAAGACGGCAAAAGGTAGGATGAGTTCACAAACGAGTGCACAGATCAGCGCAAGAGTGGGAAGTTGTTTGCAAGGCAAGACAAAGCAGCAGAGCGACTCGAAATCAATGAGATAGGTAATAGCTGCCAGTACTTGACAAGAAGGCAACGCAGAATGGGCTCAACAGAACAAGCCAAATCATCGGACAGCACAGTAGTTAAGACAGAAGTAGTCGACTCAATAGACCACAGGGTATTGGGGTTGACGCGGATCGGATAGCAGGGAAGCCTGATAAGAGTCGAGTGCTTTCATCGAACGAGCATGTTAAGTCACGCATCCCGAGCGACCCCTGAGGTCAGAACCATTGAGATGCGATCTCCGGTGCCACCTGCGCCTATGTGTCCGAAGGCGGCGTGGGCTGAGTGCTGTGAAGCTGTAACCATAAATGAGCGACTTTCATGACGGGTTGTGTGTAACACGAGCCTCAGGGTTTGGGGGTCACGTGTTCCAGGACACCAAGCAAAATCAGACGAAAGGATTCCGACGGACAAACCAGGGCAGATTCAGGAAGCGGAGCTGTTGCAAAATCAAGAAGAATAGCTCAGGAAGACAAGTCCGACGAGCATTAGAAATCAAAGATAGATCGAATTGGTCTGTTGCCGTGTTGTGGGATTCGTCTGAACATGTCAATGTGCCTACATGACTGCTTGTCACAACCATTGGCTAGGTCAATCCGCAGAAGCTGAAATAAGTTCGAACCGAGTTGTCCAAGCCCAGAGGAGACACGAGTGCAGAGCACATGGCATGTCGTCATCTTGGAGGACAAGGCGGCAGTATGCATGCAGTGGATCTCTCCGGGTCTTGCCTGTCGGCTTGTAACACAAGCGGAGGGGTGGAGTCCTAGAACACCCTGTCCCAAGATGTGCAGGGGCCCTTGAGAGTTTCAACATGCTCTTTGGCAAGTGGTGTCAGACTGAGCAGGCGACCTTCTGGCAGTTCAAGCGTCCTGAGAGTCTCTGCCAGGTTCTTCTGGAGAGTGTTTCCATGTCCCTGGATGTTCCTTGTGGCTGCATGGCTCCATTTTATGGCCGGCAGGCTTTCCCAACTCAGCTGTGAGCTCGTCAAGGGCTGGATCAAGCAAAGACTAGGATGACCGTACATTTGGAATCTTCCGTTACCCGGAAAGAAACGCTAACCAGAAGGAAAAGTGTCATGAACGCACGGCTGTAGTTTGATAAGCCCGTGTCTCCAAGCAAGTAGACTTAGGAGAATCGGATGACTATACTCACTCTCTCTCTCTCTCTCTCTCTCTCTCTCTCTCTCATATATATATATATGTACGCATACATGCGTGCATGCATACATACATACATGCATGCATGCATGCATACATATAACATGCAGATATAGGCGGGCGCGGGATTCAAGATGCCTCTCTTTTCCATGTGAGTGTCTACAAAGTCCTGATTTCTTGTGTTTCCCACTTTGCTGGAGACTCCACGCAGGTTCTGCTAAGAAAAAGCCTTCCTGTTGCTTTTTTTGTTATAATGCTACGATATTTCCTATTGTTCGGCTCTTAAATACGGCCGAAAATTTAAGACGCCCATGGGCGGTCAGCACATTTCTCCGACGGAATGACTCGGCACTTAAGACTAAGACTTACACAACACACCTATGCCGGGCACGGGGCCTACTGTACAGGTTTCAGCCTAACCAACTGATCTTACGGTAAACACCCGATTCCGGCAAAAAAACGCTTACACACACACACATACACACAGACACACACACACACATGCACGCGGTATTCAGTCTTTATTTGGATCATGTGTCAGCTCCCACCTTGACCGAGAGCCGAGGCACCAACTTCAATGTCATTGCCTGCGACACCTTCAGCGTGCAAGATGGCAAGCTGAAAATGGTCAGGACCGGACCTGGCCGCACGATTTTCTTTCAGCGTGGGATTGCGAGCCAAGCAGGACCTGTGGCATTGAGTGGCTTCAGAACACCTGGTTGAAGAGCTGCTCAGCTGCCTCGACACGATAAAGATGGCTTGAAGCGGTTGAGCTCTCCCAGCAAAGGCCTACAGTGGATTAGCATGACCGCGGCGCATGCCATGAAAATGATCTGGACCCGTCAAAGGCATGATCGAGCAGAATGTTCCGCCCCAGCTTGCTGCCGTGGGTGAGCGCATGGCAAAAGTGGTGGGTCGCTGGTGGCAGAAGGCCTGGCCGTAACATGCCCCGCAGGAGTCCGGCCTAGTAATGGTTTCGGAGAAGGGATTACCATTGGAACTCTTGCATCCAGGCTGGTTCGAGCCAGGATGATGGTGCAACTAAGTGAGCAGTCCCTCGATGCTCTCGCGGTTCAGCAAAGGCCTGTCTGGAAAGAGGGTTTAGGATAGTTTAGGGTCGTGTTTGCAGTCGCGGTGGACGAGGTGGCAAGAGAGCTCCTCTTGACTTCAGATGGCTCGGCTCATGCTCACCTCAGATTGTCTCGTTGTGCATACTCTTCCTCTTAGAGGAAACTTATCGGTTCCAACGCTTCGTTAAAAAATGCAGTCGCAGCGCAAGACCGCATTGCAGTCCCTTCAGCAAGCCGTCAGGATCGGGAAGTATGATGCTGGGCTTTTGTGTCAGTTGCCGACGTCTCCAGAAACATGCTTTGTCAAGCGTCGGTATGAGGTTTCTACGCAGCAAAGCACTGCCATCTGGAAGGAGAAGGTAGGGCCCGTTCGCCTTCTGAAAAGAGCCAGTGTCGTGAGCCAGCGCAAACATAAGTGGCCGCAGCCTCCGCCGCCGCTGCCCTCCGGCGGAATCCTGACCACAAAGGTCGCTCGGACACGTGTTGATTCCACGTCTATGTGTTGCTTGATCAGTCTCGCTTCCGTCTCTGAGTTGGCTGCTCCGCCTGTGCCAGTGCTTTAGCCGAAGCTCAAGCGACAGACAACCGCAGCGACATCCAGCAAGCTTTTTTTCTTCATCCGCGCTCGAGAAACTGGGTGGCTAGTGACATGAAGGCATCCTGTTGGCCGGATCGACAAGTTCCCCGCTTTCAGAAGCCATTTTCCGGTTCCTGCAGCCAATAGTGATGCTTCCTACATGGGCATGCTGGCTGCCTCTTCTGGCTGCGGTCGGGATGGGCGGAGATGCCGTGTCGGAGGCGGGGGGCACCTGAATCGCTCCAGCTGTTGCCTGCAATCGCCTGGCGACTCGGAGAGCGTGGCAGGCATTGCTCGGTGGCCGCAGCGCTTTCGTCCGATTCTATGCTCCGTGGTGTGGCCACAGCCAGGCTGAAGCTTTTGTGTGGGTGGATGACCCATGCACTTTGTGGAAAAGCCTAAGAGGTTTGATGCACATTCTATACAACTGCGCAGCGGCGACTCAGAGGCAATGCAGCCGGCATGGCAGCAGCTGGCCAAAGCTTACCAGAGCTCAGGCCCGATGCTGCACGCAGCTATCTAGTATCATCTAGTCCTCTCATCAAATCTTCGCATCTCCAATCCGCCAGTTCCATCATTTTGTTGCTCGCCAGGCGACATCGTTATTTCTGACGTTGACTGCACCGCGGCAGAAAACGAGGCAAGGACCTTGTTAACAGATGGTGATGTCGGTCCCTGCGCCATCTGAGCCGCAGCGGCATCGAGCAAAGGTACCGGCATGACTTGCGATTCGCAGGAGCTGTGCAGAGATCAGTCCATTGAGTCCTACCCGACGTTGAAGTACTTCAATGTTGACACAGGCCGTAGATGCAAGGCAACAGGGCCAGAGCAAGCGAACAGGCTTGGAGTTTCTGGCCAGGCCATGCAGGCCGCACCTATGCTGATGCTGCGGGCTCAGGCAAGAAGGATGCCCCGAAGGTCTTGCAAGATGTTACAGGTATTTCTGAAGCCCTTCAGACCCGCGATCTGCTCCGCCAAGGCACGAGATTACGAGTCGCTTCGGCGCGTGGCCGAGCGGGTGATGATGAGGCACCCGAAGATGGCCCGATCGCAACAGATCGGGGATTACTTGTGCACTGTGCAGGTGCGTTCCAAGCACGAAGCAGGACAGACCGGATTCCTTTATGCACGCGGTATTGTGGAAGAGCCGAAAACGAGACAACGAGGACTGTGATGCGCGTCAGAAGGCCTACATCGAGAGGATGCCGCTCGGACTCGGACCGCAGTGCTCTTTGAAGCGCGGCCCATATTTGCTTCGCTGCTCCCGGGAGGCGAAGCGCCGGCGCAGCGGCGCGGGAGCAGGAGCTGAGGCGGCGGCCTGGCCTCCACAGCGCATCCGCCCGCCTGGGGCGCCCTCCGCCTTTGGAGCCTCCGAGGCTTCTGCGCCTCTCCGGCTCCGAGCCCTCCACAGCCAGGCCGTTTTCTCGGTCTTGGATACCGACTTCCGGGCCATGTCGCAGAGGTGGGCCTGGCTCAGCAACAGGATCGCGCTGCTCGAGGGTCTTGGAGGTGGGGGCCTTGGCAACAGCTGTTTCAGATCTGGCCCGAGCCACACAGAGAGTCTGCATTGCAGCAGGTCAGACTGTCAAGGAGCTTTGAGCTTGTGCGGGGAGCACCTGCTGGCGGAGCAAGAGCCAAGCGCCGATCCCACGCCGACAGAGACAACAGGTGGAAGCGGAAGGAGGTGACACGCCCGAAATCGGGACAGCAACAACTGCGACCACTGAGGTGCAATGTCAAAGTGCATTGTCAAACGTCGCACGGCAGAACGGCTAAGAGGGAGGCATTGGACGAGATCAATGGTACCGATGTCGCCGTCACTGGACATCCTTGGACCATACTGGACCTGTCTTGCTGGTCCAAGACAGCAGAGCAAATTCCTGGAAAGACATGGAGTTCGCAGGATTGATTCGATGCAAACATTTCGTTTCACTGAAGCTTGCAGGACCGGAAAAGCCCGCATCTGTCTGTCAGAGTCTGTCGACCCATGTCGACCCCTTAGTGCCTTCACAAACTGGCCTACTGTCTTCCCCGCTAGGTGCTAGCCAGCGGAATTGAAGAGGCCAGGCATTGTTGCATTGTGTGACTTGCGGCCCGTGTCATCTCAGCAGGTTACCATCGAGTTCACTGACGTGCTGAGTGGTGTCGTGCTTAGGAAGGAGCCTTCAGATCAGCTTTGCATTCTGAGGGGGTCTGGCCTGCTGATCATCGCTTTGCCGGAAAGCATAGAAACTTTGCTGCGGCATGGGAGCTTCAAACCAACCCAAGAGTTCCGACGCACGAAGCCACCCGAGACGTGAAGGTCATATCCTCTTGTGCTTTGTTTGCTCAGATCTGCCCGTCCACAGCGCCGTTTCGGCCCGCTTCCGTACCTTCCGCCGATGCCGCGGCTGCGTGGGAACGATGGCAGACGCGGCGAAGCGGCAAAAGGCAGAGGCCGTCACCTTGTGCATTCGCACCTCAGCGGCTCCTCTCGGAGCTCAGCGCAGGAAGCGGATGCGGTGCCTGAGCAGGAGCATCCGCCACCCCTACTTCTTGAGACAATTCTTTGTCGCCATGTTGAACTTCCAGCTTGTTACGGACTGCAGGAGCCGCAGGCCAAGAGACAGAAGGCGGGGGCGGTAGAGCCCATTCCAGCAATGGCATGGCACTGGCGTTTTGTGGTGTTTTGAGGCGGAGCAGGCTGACGAGCTCACCCCGGCGACTCGGCAGAACCTGAAAAAGATCACCGTAACGTTTCTCTTTTGCCTGGCCCTCTGGCCCCTCTGAGGTAGGAACGACGGACGCAGAGGGCGACGAGGCCCGGAGCCCTTGCGAGAAGTTCTGGGCAGGAGCTGCTTTGTCTAAGCTGAGGAATCGAAAGCAGAAAGTGCCTCCAGCGACGACGAGAGCGACACATCTTCCTCCTCGTCCTCCTCCGACAGCTCTGCAGTCTGGCCGCATGACCACTGTAGGCCCAGGCAGAGCAGGTCTTTTCACGGAATGCAAGCGGAGCGCAAGGAAAGCTCCTCAGACGAAGAGAGCGAAGCACCGGCCCGGATCCCGGCTTCTGGGAGTGAGCTCTCAGCTAGCTTCGGATTAAATAAGGCAGCCGCAGATGTTGCGGAGGCGCCAAAGGAGGCCGAGGTAGCCTACTTCGGGCTGTGTCTGCTTTCGCCGTCCATTCGGACTTTCAATAAATGTGAAGATCTGGCTTCCACAGATGGCTTGCGCAGGATGCGAAGGCCGCGCGCCACCTGGGCACCATTCGGCTGGCACAACTGAAGCGACGGCCTTTGCTTCTCGAACCTGGCAGAGGGCACAGATCACTTCGAAGTCATTCTCTTTGAATGACGAGTCTTGAGCAGGTGTAGTCCTTAAGACAGTACAATTCGTCACACAAGGTTTCCCTCCCAAGGATCCTGAAGTTGGCATTCCGGATGTTTTGGGTTTTAGGTCAGTCTGGGGCTTCTGGTTCTGGGCCGAGGTGAGGTTCAAGCAGTAGGTTTGTCTGCCCGCACAATTGCGTCGTGTCGGGCTTTGCATGCTCTCTGCTGGACCACTGCTTGTTTGTTGTGCATGTTGCGACATTTGCTGATATAATCCAGGATTGTGTCAACCTGTTCTTGTCGTTGCGCCTAGTTCCTAGTTAGGGTCGGACCAGTCGACCTTTTCGCAGTGAGTTAAACATGTCATGCGATGATGTCAATGGTTCCTTGTCTCTGCTACAAGCCTTTGTTTTGGCCATGAGACCAGTGGAAAAAAGCGGGGATGTAGAATCATGTAGAACTGTAGAATTAGGTGCGGATCAGCTTATCGCTGGCCGAGGCGAGGCGAGCTGGTGAACCTGCTTCGTGACTTGCCGCCAGAGGACGGCTCTGCTCTGCTCTGCTCTGCTGAAGGGCTTTTTCCTTCGCAAGACTTGTAAGGAGCATGACTCGCACATCAAGAGTGCCTTTGTGCTCGTGAAGGCGCCTGCTGCGTACTCGGACTACCCAAGGCTCCACCTGAACTTGTTCTCTTGCCAGGTTAGTGAGGCCGATGAGGTCATGGCTGAGGTGGTATGCGCAGAGCCTTCTGCTGTCTACCATGTCCAGAACCTGGATTTCCCGAAGGAGGCGGAGCGCGAAAGCGGACGCATGCATGTGTAAGTCAGCAGCAAGGGGGTCGCATCATGGAAGTCTAGTGTCACGGGTGACGCGCGGTCAAAAAGTCGTCTGGTTGATTGGCCCTAGCATTCCGGGTGCTGTTGCTGTTTCCGTTGTCTCGAAAGCATTGCAGACGGCGTTTGCTCGGAAGGTGAAGGTGCTCAAGTACCAGCTCCGCTGCAAGCGAGGAGGGATCTGGCAGCTTTCTCAAACTGGGTGCGAGGCAAACTGGGCGTCGCCAGGTACGGCCGAGAAGCTGATTAAAGCCTCGGCTGTGAGCAATGGCATGATCGAGGCCGGAAACTCGCGACTCGAGCTTTCTGCAACCGGCATACTTCTGGCAGGAGAAGCACCTAAAGCAATGGAAAAGCTTGATAAATCGCAGATGCCTCAGGGGCTACAAGGGCCGTCCAACAAGCAAAAGCAGCCGGCAGTGAAGGGAGTCACGGCACTCAGGTTGCAAAATAGACCCCGAATTGATTCTCGACAACATGCAGGAGAGGGCCCAGCAGATATGCAGGAGCCCAGCATGGGATCGGTGCATTCTGAAGCCGATTCCAGAGGTTGACTGCTTGATTTCATTAGGGTTCCTCCAGGAGCAAGGCCATCAAGTACGATGAAGCAATGGTGGCCCGCATTCTGTCGCAGAAGAAGCAGCTTGTCAGCTTTTGGTAAGATTGGCACAGAGACTGTCCTGACTGCCGTTGTTTTCGCACTCATGTTTGTCGCTTCTCTGTTGCGCTGCAGCGTGCTGCATCAGCCCAGCATGCATGCTGGGCTGGACTTGAGGCCGATCGAGTTCGATGCGCAGAAGCAGTCTCGAATGGCGGCTCAGGTGCAGCCTCTCGGTGGCAACGAGTGCTGGCAAGAGCAAAGCTGCGGCCTGGCGATGTTTCGCGAGACTTTCAGGATTGGTTTGACGCAGATGGACATCAGCAGCATCCGGGAGTTTGAAGTGCTCAAACTCGGGAAGGAACATGCTGCTTGTCAGAAGGGGGCAATGTTGGCACTTGGGTTCAACGCTTGGACGCTGGGGCAGACGTGCCGGACAGTCACACCTGGACTGAGGAAATCGCCAAGCAGCATCTGCACCAAATGCAAAGAAAGGAGACGTGCAGTAGTTGCCCTCGTATTCGGTGACAAACCGTTGCTGCCTGCATGAATCTTGAAGAGCAGTACAAGGCATTTTGTACGAGCAATTGACCGCAGGAGTACGAGAAACACGAAGAGTGGTTCCAACATGCACGTGGTCTTTTCAGTTCGAGGCTCAACTCAGCCTTTGAGATGGCTTGAGGTGCATATCTGCTTTGTCAGAACTTGCACTGGACGGGATTGCCAGCTCCCTGCTCCCCACACTGGGATTGGAGATTCCTGAGGTGCCAAGGAGGTCAACCGAATGAACCACGATCGGCAAGTTCGAGATGACAGACACGCGCTTCAGCCCCTTGGCAGCCATGCAGGGTCGATGCTTCGCGGAAGGGTCATGACAGAATCCGAGAACCCATGTCCAGCTCAGGTACGCCCTTGACAATGAGAGGAGGGAGGACGCCGGTGCATCAGAGTGCACGAGATGCCCAGAATCGTAGAATTCCGCAAAGCCTCCATAAATCCGTAAAGTCTTGCATCCGGCCAAGCCTGGGTTCTTTCAGGACGCAGAGACAGGCAGATTGAATCCCTTCGAGAGAAGGCTGGAGCTTTGGAGCTTGGACAGTGCTGGAGGGACGGAAGCAATGTACTAGTCATGTCATTGTCCGGTTTCAGTGACTACGCCCATGCTTATGTCCACCCGATCCGGAGGGTGAACTGACCCAAAGCAACCCCTCGAGGGCCTGCCGTCCAGTGTCAGCCTGGGACACACGGCTCAGCCAAAGCGAGGCGCACCGAAGACTTCGTCAATGACTCACTGTGAACCTGCGCGAAAGATGTCCGAACCCACTGCAAGAGGAGCTGGAGCAGTGGAAACTGGCGAACGTTGCCGGGACCCCGGATGTGCCCGATTGGACGAATGCCCACCCATACCAGCAACATCATCATCATCATCATCATTATCACTATCACAATCTATTAATTTGCATTGGAACAACATGTCTGCCCAGATCAATCTTCTTCCTGTGGAAGGTTTGCTGCTGAACGCTTAGAATGCCATTTCATCCAAAACCCGGCTTTCCACCTTCGGGTTCCCACCTGCTGCCCCCGGACTGCACGACGTGCTGCTTTCACTTGTGCAGAGCGTCCCGAGTTCATTGCAGCATTGCATGGGTTTTAGCAACATCCTTGTGTCCGATCTGTGGGCAGGGCCGCGCGTTCTGCATACCACACACCTGCCCAACTAGGCGAACAGCAAAAAGACGTGCATTCGTCACTTGCTAGTTTCACTAGCGAGTACCAGCGAGCTGGCAGAACCCTTCAAGCTTTGAATATCGCCACGGACCCATTGCCACCAACGCTCCATGCAGGCGCTGCGCTTAGAGGCCACGCGCGCTGCGGAGGCAAGAGCTGGGGAGGTAGAAGTCGCAGGAAGCGGGGAGGTTTCCCCAAGATGCCGAAGCCACGGAGTTTGAACTCCGTTTTCTGTATGCCAGGATCAGGATAATTGCTGCTTGCGTTTTATAGGCAGAAGAGCAGAACGCCAGTGTCGGCATTGTCGGGCGGCTCGAGCCAGGATTGATTGCAGCCGCAGCTTACTGAGCTTTTGCGCTTGGTTTCGGCGCAATGCCTTCTACAGGATATGTGGTCCTGGCGTCGGGCGAGGGCGGGCGGGGGAACCGTGCTTCTGCCTGGATGATATTCTTGGGGTTGTTTCTGACATGTCTGGTGATGCTTCCTAGCCGCTGGGCCAGTCGTGCCCGGAGAGTGGTGGATGTGCTCGTCACAAGTCCACCAGTGGTCGTCACAACTTGCGGAAGAATACAAGGTCGCTGGGAGGCGGCTGCAGCCAAGTCTATTGCGGCCTTCCGGGGCATCCAGTTTGGCACGGCTAAACGATGGATGCCACCCAGCCTCGCATGTCCATCAACGACAATTGCGACTACGGATGGCCCTGCGTGCTTCCAGCGTGATCCAAGTAGACGCCATGCTGGCCAAAGCGAAGAGTGTTTGTACCTGAATCTGTTTTCGCCTCCGCTCTGCTCTACGAAGGGGTCATGTTCTCAACTGCCGGTGGTTGTGTTTCGATCTTAGCTATGCCTTACCGTGAAGTTTTCAGAGTGGGCCATCGATAGAAGTCCACAGCAAAGCACATGACACCCTCAATCCGGACCTGCGAGGTTTCTGCATGGTGGAGGCCTACAAGGAGGCGATGCATCTGGATACAACGGTATCCAAAACCTGGTGGCGTTGTCCGGGGACATCATTTTGGTTGCTTGCCAATACCGTCTTGGTGTGCTGGGCTTCATGGCGACTAGCAGACTGTCGGAGAGAGATCCGCGCGGTGTAAGTGGGAATTATGGCTTCTTGGACCAACAGCTTTGCCTCCGCTGGGTTCAACAGCACGTCGCAGCTTTCGGGGGTGATGCAGGGAACGTCACACTGCTGGGACATTCGGCGGGCGCCACAACGATCAATGCGCACTTGGCCGCGCCGAAGTCTGTGGGTCTCTTTCACCGTGCAATCCTCCTCTCCGGCAGTCCTGGAACTCCGAAGTTGTCTCAGAGGGAGAAGGAGCTGCAGGATACCTCTTTGTGGTTGCCGAGCACAGGCTGCATGGACTTGGAATGCCTCTTGAACTGCGATGCAGGCAGGCTCTCGGATTCATTGCCACAGCGCTACAGGCCAGGAAACTCGGAATTTGCTCGTGCTAAGTCCATGCCGAACACCTTCGGGGCGTTGGCTCAGGCACTTTGACCAGAGCGACTATCCCACTGCCCCAGCTCCTCAAGGAATTGCTTGGGCCGAGCTGCTTCATGTGGACGGCGTCTCCATCCCCTGGCCGGCAGCAGAGGCTCACCTTCCCCATCAGAGGTTCTTCTCGAAGCTGTTTTCGGCTGCAGTTTTTTCTTGTAAGTAGGCCTTCCGCCACGCCCGCGTGCCGCTCGTGGTCCAGACCATGGAGGCTGGCTGAGGACGGCGGCACTGAGCAGTTCGTCCGTCGCGGCGCGTCGCAGGCGGAGATGGCCGGGTCGTCGGCGCCGGGGCTCCCGGACTTTGCAACCAGCGAAGCCTTCCTGGAATTTCTTCGGAGCAGGCACGAGCTAAGACCGGGAGGCACTGTGGCCGTGATATGCCGTGATGCCAGGATGGGTGCAGGCTTTGGGCCGAGCTTTGTCGCTGCTCTGGCTGTAGCCTATGCGGAATTCGAGCCGAACTTGGCAAAGTACGCCCTCGACAGCAACTCGGTGCTCAATAAGCTCTGGTCAGGCAACCTCCAGCACCTCGAGAACAACGGTCGTGCCGTAGTGCGTGAACCATGAGCTATATAACCGAAGAAACCAGATCCGTGGGATGCAGCTGAGGCGAGACAGGCAACGGTTGCGGCTACAGGGCTCTGGCGCAGCTTGCTGCTGCGGGCGGGAGTCAAGTTCACATGGGTATGGTGAGGCCACGGTTCAGTTTTCGGAGCGCGTCCTGCACATGTTTGTTGGACTGGTGTGCCCTGCGAGATTCGGCCCAACCAGACCAGTGAGATGGAGATCCGACTGCACGGAGATCAAGCACCCGCATCTGAGCACAGAACACTACAAGAAGAGCAGTTGGGCTGTGAGCATCGTTTGACCAGAACCGAGGTATCCTTTCCATGGCTGGGAACTTGCGGCTGCCACGGGCGCCTGGAGCCAGTTATGGTTTGGAGTCCGTGCCGTCCAGTGAGCAGACTGCATCTGGATACCCAGCGGGTTTGCTTTGTTCGTGCAATGTAGCCCGGCACCTACACAGGTGAGGATGCATCCTGCGGGGACTTTCAGAGGACCGCGTGGTTAGCTTTCGTTCGACACGGCAGTGGTGGGCTCTCTGACTTGGGGTGGGAAGCCCTGGATGATCGCCAGCCACTTGCCACCTGCCTGGCTACAGGCAGCTTGACCGTGTTGAGCCTGTTAACTGTCAAGACCCCCTTAAGTCACTGCCGCCAAATGCAACGATCTCCAATGAAATTGCACACGCACGTGCAAAGCAATGTCTGCGAGGAAGTCTTGGCGAGACTACGAGTTCCTTTGCCAGTGCCGCGCGCTGTGAGATGTGGGCCCGTCACAACGTCAGCAGCAACTGGTACTGGAACAACCGCTAGCTCGGCTATGTGATGCGACTCGTGCAGCAGAGCAAAAGACCTCATGGTTCTAAGAAGTTACTGAGAACTGCCGAAAGAGATGCTGAAGTTGGGCATGAAACTGTGATGTGAACCTGCTCATCAATCACCGGAGAGCACAAGGAAATCGTGCTAGCCATGGGCCTCGAGCTACAAGGTAGGCAAGCACAAGGTACACTTCATCCGCGGTGGCGACTTCTCGGAAATGCCTGGCCGTGTGCTTGATGCAGATTCCAGAAGCGTCCAGCTCCGATTCGTTGTGCCTGGCCCGTGTGCAAAAAGCGGGAGACCGGGGCCTTAAACTGGCGTAGAGTCATAGAGTCATAGAGTTTAATCTAGGGAGACACGCAAGTTGCCATGCCACGATATCGTTCGGTGTATTAAGCGGCTGGCAGGTCAAGCTCAAGGGCGCGACGCAGGCCAACTAATTTTGAGCAAGAGTGGATCCGTGGTCAGAGAATCACAGCTTACATGTTACAAAGACTGACATTGCTCAGACATCCGGAGTCGCATGCCCACAGTGTGTCAGGCAAAAGCAAAGAAAGTCGAGGAGCGAGCTTGCCTTTGCAACAGACCACGCTCCTCAAGTCTCGAAGAACAGCAGAGCTGCATCAGAACTCTTGCTTAAGTAGTGGTCTTGCAAGCGAGTTGTAAGTTCTGTGACACAGCGAGCTTTTGTGGTAGAGCTTGACCTGCGATTCGGCCAGATGAATGTGCTGTGTCAGAGAATCCATCCGACAGTGTGAGACTACTTATGTCAGCCTGCTATCACCTGCCTCATCATCGTCATAAAGTCCTCTTCACCATCATGTGGGTTGCGCACACGACCCAGAAGAGGGCATGATTATCGTTGGAATGACAGAGGTAAGGCGGACAGATGAATTATTGAAGGAGCCGCCATCAATGGCTGGCACCAACTCGGACCAAACGGAGGCAAAGTGTGTCAGAGCTAAATGCACAGACGGGGCCGATTACAGTCATCGCGCTCACATCTCGCAGCTCCGAAAGCATGTAGGCATCTCTGTTGCGGTTTTTTCTGCGACAGGCGACACAGAAAAGCGTGGAGGAGCGGCTGCGGAAAGAGTAACTGTAAATGTAACTGTAAAGCTGAACTGGTGCATCGACACCGCAGGAGCCCTCACACTCGGCTGGGGACACTTCGGACCGGGTCGAGGCGAGCAGCTTTAGTTTCACCATGAGACTTGACCCTGCTTTGCATTGCGGAAGGCAGTTTTGCCTCGTGACAGCTTGAAGCCCGTGTACCGTGTATCAAGTCAGTAGTTTTCGCATTCGCTGTTCTTGGAGAGTCCGGCCAATTCGGACCCAACGGAGGCCTTTGCAGTGCCGTGCCTGTCGTGACATTCAAAGGGCACCTATCGTTTGCGCTCAGTTGTTTGCGGGCGACCTTGCGCTTTTATCGAATGTCGAGGCCTTTTAACAACTCAAGTAAGCTGAAGGCTCCGGAGTCCTTGTCAAAACCCCTGCAGACTTCAAAGCCGCCTTGCGAGTCACGGTCAAACTGAGTCGCTGTCTTTCGGAGCGACATGGATGCGGGAGCATGCGGGAGCCCCGCAGGACACTGCGCAAGAAAGCTCCGATGCGGAGAGGCTCAAGGCTGCACCCGGCTGCACCCGGAGGAGGGCACAGGGGTGCACCTCATGTCGCGTGCGCCAGGTCGACCTCGAGATGTTGGAACTCATGAGAAAACACTACACTGACTACACATGAGTCTTGAGCGTCCAAAAAAGGCGGCTGCTGCATGTTGGTCAGCCAATTATGATATCCATTCTTGGAAGATGCTCAGCTTCCGAAAAGCCTGTGATGCCTCCTGTGCCCTCTTGGCTAACGTTTGAGGTCGAGCCTGGCACCGGTGGCACCGCGATTTCCTCGCACTCTCGGCCATGGCTCAGTTTCGCTCACAGGCGGAGACAGCAACAGGTCTACGGCTGCATAAGCCGAGTAGCTTCAGCCTTTGCTTAGCCTTCAACGCCTGCGACAGTTTTGGCTGCTTTGACACCAGGCCGCTTGTCTGGAGCTTGCCAAAGCGCCTTCGGGGCATGTGGCTCAGCGTGTCTCACATTCAAGGCCAACGTCTGCAAACATTACGAGCTGTGCGAGAGGCTCCGGCTGCACTCGCTGCCGCAGGCGAACCGCCTTCCTTTTCAATTGTGGGTGATCGTATGACACAGGAATAATTGTCTTCGCGTTGAGGATGAAACCCTGTCGGAGGCACTGCGGATCCGGCTTCCGGCCAGTGTGGCGGGGGCGCAGGATGAGATTTTCGAGCTCGTTTGGCACCCGTTGGCTTGCGGGTAATTCTCGTGGCGGCGTGGCGTATGAGTGGAATGCCAGGCTGATGTCATGTTTGTGTCATCACTGTCTGCCCCCGCTCTGCCGATCTGGATCTGGTGCGCTGAGCTGCTTCATGAGCTTGACCAGTCCTAGACACAGGAGCGCCGCCAACCACACGCCAGAGCATGCTGGCGCTTGCTGACCGCAAAGCGTGTTTCTTCATGATCCGCGTGAAAGAAAACCCTAGCAGCCCTAGCACATTATGCAGTATGCAAAGAACAGAGTCATGCTTCTTGAACGCCCACGCTGGGTCAGATGCAAGCAGGCCAACACATAGCACTGTAGCTAGCATGACATGAGCAATGTCCTCGACAAAGGGCGAGGACCCTCGGCTTTGAGCTTCGACGTCATCAGACGTCCGAAGACGCCTCCTTTCCAGGACACCGAGCTGGGCGAATCCCATGTGGTTTTGGGCTTAGCCTCGGCGGGCGGTCTTGGCCTTACCGAGAGCATCGGCTCAGGTCGCTTCCGGTTCCGAGCTGCCTGGAGCCGTGGGCAACACCGAGGTCCCCAAAACAAAGCCAAGAAGTGAACGCTTCCTTTTCGACGGAGTCTCAGCGCCTGCAGGGCCAGGCCCCGAAGCCCACGGTGCGTGTCGCCTCGCCAGAGCCGGAGGCGGGAGGGTTAGGGCCGGTTAGGGCGGTTCAGGCTTCGCCGTGCATTCCCGAGTCACTTTGCAATCTCGCAGGCGACATCGGTGTCTGTAGCACCTCCTGATGATGCGCCGCCGAAGTGCGCAACATGGCAATGAAAGTCTCCGACCGTGCGTTCGGAGGATTTCTCTCTTCTTCATACTGCGAAGGCAGAATTTGTGCAGCAGTGGAGTGGGCCTGCTATCGTGGCCAGCCTCAGGCATCCCCGAACAGCCATGGGAAGTCCTACATCGAGCAGAAGATAGGTCACCCGGCTTACTGCTTTTTATGGTCGCAGCTTGCCAAGAGTGCTACCATTGACAATTGAGCTGTGCTTCGGTGTCCCTGACAAAAGTTGATGGGACGTCATGCGAAGAAGCAGCAACGGTTACAGTTGCAAGCAACATCTGCTCCGCGACAGGTGCTTGGGTGTCCTTTAACACCCTGCATTCTGATGCGATGAGCACGAACATGGAGGCGCTTTTCCTCATCCGAGAAAGCACTGATCACAGTCAGCTGATCAGAGGATCCCTTCCCTAGCGTCAGCTGGCAGTGGGAGCACCGGAGTGGCCTTTCGGGCAGCAATGCTTCAAGATTCCACCTGCCAACATGAAGCGGCCAGTGCTGCACGGACTGTTTTCTTGGTCCCGACTCTCTATGAACTGAGGTTGGCGAGACTATCCCCGCAAAGTGAGCACGAAGATCGAGCAAGCTTATCGTGCCGGGGAGACCAAAACCAGGGTGCAGACTGGAAAGACGCTTGGCATGCTGCTGCTGGCTGTGTTGTCGTGCACTGTCCTCGACGGACGGGCATGTGGCTGTCTCGGCGTGCGTTTTCAGGAAAGGATCCGTCCCCATGGAGATTTTCTTTGAGGCTGGTCATTTCAATCACAGGTTCAACCCGAACAGCTCGGATCAATTGAACAGGACATGCTCCAGCATGACCCCATCTCTGGCAACACCCGGAACGTGAACAGGGCTGGTGATTTTTCCTGCAGACGCTTGTTGAAGGACATCTATTGGTGACTGTTCCTACGCAGTCACGCAAGAATTTGTTGTTGAGTTTGGCTTGTGTCATTCCTCGGAGTTGTAGAGCCATTGGTGCTCGCATGAGCCTTTGGCCCATGGGCTTCGGGAATTTTTCGAGTCGGTGCGACTACGCATGTCGAGCGAATCTTGCGTATCCAAGGACAGAAGCTCGTGCGTTTCCTGGGCAGCATCATCAGGACGCCGGCTTGAAATAAGCACACCGTAGGGGACGATTTTGTAAACTGCCACAGGTGGCATCCAGCAACGCACACCTTCCAAATGTGCCCACCAGCCACAGCTTGGAAGAGCGCGCTGGGAGCCAGGTATACCTGCCTACCAGCAGAAGGGAGTGCCTTCCATGTTGAGTTATGAAAGCAGCGCATACTCTGAAACCATTTTCGCGTGATTCACCCGAGAGCTCAAGACAAGTTGCTATGGAATGGGCTTTTTACGCGGTCTCGCAAAGCCGACACATCATGAACCTGCCGTGTGATGGGCATACATGGAAGAGAGCAGTGAGGACATCATTCACAACGGAATTTCGCCATATCAGCAAAGCGGCTGTCTCCGATTGAGACCATCGTAACAGGATTGCCAGGAGTTCCTAAACTGCGGAGTTCCAACCGTGGGACCATGACCCCGGGTAGCTGACTAATCAACGTGCATTCGCGCACAGAGCTTTCTGTCAGAAGGTCTTGCTCAGTTGGGGCATCTAAAAAATCGGCGCAGTGGAAGCTGCTTCGTTTGCAATTGCAACGTGGTTCATACATGTCAGACAAGCGTTAGTAAGCTAATCCTGAATCCCCACAGGTGTTGCCCAATGAATTTTAGCGTCTTAGAGTCTTAGACTTTAGAGTTTCAACGTATGCATGCCACGTGTGGACTTTGACAAGCGTCCTTCTGCGCATTTCCAGGACGCTGGAGACGGGCAAACCTCGGAAGGCGAAGATGCACAGAAAATCTTAGCCCAAGTGCCATTCCTTGTACGGTCTGCCTTGACTGCGAGCGTCGAGTGTTTAGGGATGGGCGGATTGGATGCCAGCATGTTTCCAAGATCCGTTACATACTCCTGCAGGAGCGCTTCCACGATTACCAGAAGAGGCGCAAGAGGCACGTGGATCCAGATTCACATCAGGAGCCACATGGAGCTCTCGTGAGCCTTTTCCAGCCCGAGCCAGCCAACCCTGAGATTCGGTTGAGCCAGGTCTTAAGGCTGGTCTTGAATGTTTTTGGGAATCGCAGGAGCCGGTGAAGGAGAGTCCCTATCACAACGGCTGCTGCGGGCTGGTCGCTGCAAGCCCCGTCTTCTTCTCTTGCCACTGGGCTTTCATAGGCACTGGCCCCTGGGGTTTTGATTCAGATTCAGGGGTTGGGCGTCTTTGCCTGGTGAGGTGCAGTCCTCAGGTTTTGAGGTTGCAGAGTGCAAGGTTCGATGGGCATGGTCATCGCCTACTGTTTCTGGCTTGGCATTGAAGCCGCAACTTGCCTGCACTATGCTTGCTTCCTTCGAGCTTTGTGCTCTGGGCCTTCAGTCTTCGGTCAGGACAACAACACGCACAAGTCGCACTCCCTCTATCAAGCCGAGGCTGAGAACTGTTGTCAGAGGGTTGCTGAGTGTGCCGGCGGGCGTTGGTTTCGATAAGCGGAGAACCGAACCAAATCTCGAAAAGTCGAAACTCTACATGTAGAACGTTTTCGACTTTTTCCACTTTTCGCGTTTCGGAAAACGCGAAGCTTCCTGCGTGTTCCGCACTTTAGGTGCTTTTCGGGCTTTTAGGCTTTTTGTTGACTTTTCGCGTTTTTTCTGCGCATTTCGCACTTTGCTGTACCTTTCAAGTTTCTAGGCTTCTCGACTTTTCGCACTTTTCTGCGCTTGTCGCACTTTTCTGTATTTTTGGGGTTTCAGGCTTTTCGACTTTGAGAGCGGCTTTCTGAGCTTTCCGAACTGTTCGGTAGTTTTCGGCTTTTCGACTTTTCGTGTTCGGCTACAATTTTCCATCCTTTTCAGGTTTTCACAGAGAAGCTTCAGGCCAGGCTAGGGCTAGGGGTAGGCTTAGCTCTGACGAGGCCAAGCGCCAGAGGCCTGGGTCTAGGGGGGGCGGGCAGGCAGGCCAAGAGGTTGGGCTGGATAGGGGTAAGGGATGGTAAGGGCTTGTGGAAAATCGGCATCAGTGTAGGTAGGCCTGGGGCTAGGCTAGGGGTAAGCCTTAGGGAGCTGCAAGTAGTAGTCGTAGTAGTACTGTCACCAGTCGTAGCAGAAGTTTTCATCAGAGTCGAGCTAAATGGCAGACTTTGCAGAATCTCGGGTTCCGCCCAAGCAATTTTGGCTGAGCTTTCGGGGTAGGCGAACTCTTCAAGTGTTCTCTTTCAATGTTGTTTGACAGTTCGGGTTTTTCAATGACACACTTATCTAGCCAAAACATGTGGATTTTTGTTTGTTTCTTTGTTTGTTGTTCGGGTCTTAGGAGCAGCACAGTTGGCGTTAGGACGTGTTTTCATTTCGGCTTTGTGCAACATAGGCAGCATGGGCATGTTCCCTTTGATCGGTTTTTTGATACTTCGACTGATTGTTAACAGGCTTGGGACATGCATACTCGCAAATTTTCGTGACTTGGCATCCTAAAGCACCTAGAACGAACGGAGCTATTCGTATTTCGTTACATTTTTCCGATTTGGGGCACCCAAAATGGCAACTTTCAATGAGCTAGGAGCATTTCGTGTGTCCGCAAGCACCCAAGAGTGACCAAGACACAGACGTTTAGATCTAGGTTTCGGCTCTGGGGAGCCAACCAAGAACCTTGTGCGTGCAAGCATTTTCGATTTTTCTAGTCTGAGAAACCCTGAATGGCCATTTTCAGTGAATTTTGAGCATCTCGTGGTTCCGACAGCACCAAAAGTGGACAAGACTCGGGCATCTGGGCGTATTCGTCGGGTCTGGAAACCACCAAATGGCAACTTCTGCTGAGTTTAAGTATCCAACACAGACACTTTTGGCTGCGTTGGATTGTGCGTTAGACGAACTCCCCAGAAGAGATGTCTCAGTGACGTGTGACAAAACGTGTTGATTTTTTGCCTTTTGCGGTGGTTAGGTTTTTTGCAGATTGATTTGGATTGTTTTCGATTGTTTGGCTTGGACTGTTCGACTCTTCGCCTTTCTGTGTGCCTTTCGATTTTCAGTTTTTTCTCGACGTTTCGCTCTTTGCTGTGCTTTCAGACTTTTCGCGCGTGCTTTTCGACTCTTTGCGTTTTGCTGTACTTGTCGATTTTTTGCGTTTTTTAGGAATTCATACTGTTCGATTTTAGCTGTACTTTTTAGACGTTTTTGCTATTTTAATTTTGTACTTCAAGCCTTTTCGGGTTTTCTGGTTTTCCCGCGCAAATCTTTATCCAAAGCTGCTTTGCGACGTTTCGCTTTTCGGCTTTTCGCGTGGATGGGTATGAAGCCCGTGCTGCGCAGTGTGAGGTGCGAAGACCGTGGTGGATGGTTCAGGGTTTTGGGAGGCATGGCTGGCTTTGGGTTTCAGCGCGAAAGGGGACGGTGTTCTTGGTTGGAGGTCATAGCTTGGGCGTGGGCGATGGGGCACGTTTTTGGCAAAGGAACAAGGCACGGGAAGGCTTTGCACTGGGCACTGCTGCTTGTATCCATGCTAAGGAGTCTCAGAGCGCTAGCTGTTGCAACCCAGAACCATCCAGATCCAACGTCAACAAATTCTCTGACCCATCCCGCCTTTGCCCCATGCTCACCTAGAGGTTTCCAAGTTTCGCATGTTTTGACTGTCAGCATTGCCCATGGTCGGAGAGACCTTCCCTTGCTCCGGCTTGTGTCAGGTCAACCCTATCTTCGCAGTGGTTGAGAACATTTTTTGCGTGGCTTTGTCTGCATGAGGTTTGGGAAGCAGTCTCACGTTAATCCGTCTCAACAGGGAGACTTCTGGTCGTACATGGCTACGAATGTCTGCACAGTTTTCTTTGCCTGGAGCACAGGATGTGGCTACAAGCTCAGCGCGCGCACACACACACACACAGATATACATATATATATATATATGCACATATATATATATATATCCTCACTTATATACGCTACATACATACATACATATATATATATATATTTATGTTATATTGTATACACAAGCACAGCTCCGTCACCTCGCAACGCAGGTGTTCTTCACTGCGGAGTTGATAATTCGCTTCTGTGGCTTTCGCAGAAAGCCGAACTGCTTCCATGATATGTGGTTCATCTTTGATCTGGCCGGGATCCCAAGCTCGCATCATCTAGAATGAACAAGCTCCACACACGGGATAGACTGCTGCCATGCCGTACGTGTTCGAGAGCGTATGTCTGTGCACGCATGCTGAGATTCTGGTGATCCTGATGGTGGCCGAGCTTTGGATCGTTCCGATTGTCATCATATTTTTGCCAGATCTGAGTTGGGAGCCTGGATGTCGGCTCTAGGAGGAATCAGGCCGTTCTGCCTAGTTTGCAAGAGCAGATGACCCAACCCTTCCAATCGGCCGTCGGTCTGTCTCATATATTGCATGACCTAGGGTTATGCACTGTTTATATGTCGCAAGTTGATAGAAACACAAACTAACATTGTAAATATAAAGAAAATACAAGTTTAAACAGACCATTCATTGAACAAATATGTACGTACATACATACATACATACATACATACATACATACATACATACTCGTACATTTATATGGTGGTTGATATAAAGCTCCTTGCGGCATAACCTATATGAAGCGACAACTGCATAGCTAAATATGCCTTCGTGAAAGTTCTGCGATGGTGCGCTAAAGTTATTTTTTCTGCGAAAGTTATCTGTTTAGCCTACCTGCCGTGTTATTATTACTATTGCTATTATTTTTGTTATTACTCTATCACCACTTCTCATGCTCTTGCTACTGCATCTGGTACTGCTGTTCCTGCTCCTGCTGCTGCTGCTGCTGCTGCTGCTGCTGCTACGGCTGCTACCTACTACTTCTGCTGCTACTGCTACTGTTACTGTCTCCACTTGCTACCATTACCCGCCATACCTACGACCCACAATCTTATCAACGACCAACCCAAAACAATGGTTCCAGTACAGGGTTTAGCGCGTCGCGTATGTTCTGTGTAAGTGAAGTTAAAGTCGACGTAGCCAGATCAAGACCACCCCCAATGGACATTGTTTGGTGCATTTG